CATTCATTAAATAATGATAGATTAGGGTTCGGAGAAAGTCTTCCACAATTGGAGCACAATTGGGGGGGGGGGTGGCTACAAAAGAACGAACAGAGAATTTCTCAAAGCCCATGACAAGAGGAAGGAGGCGTTTCTGTTTTGTTTTGCTGGTAAATGTCATCGCAAGTAATGAAGCAAATGACAAGCTCGCTGAACGGTTCCATAACATAAAGCTAAGCCTGTCAAAATAATAACCAGCTAAGTTATTAATTCTTTTCTTATGAAGTTCCCCTTGATTACATATAAATTAAATACCCAGGACCAGCTTGATTGGAAGCAACTTTATTTTAGTTACGTTGAGATAGCGAGTTAGTTAAGCAATCACGTAATTCAGAGTTGTTTTATCTCATTAGGCCTATTTTTTCGACCCATTTTTTGCACTGATTCTTACGTTAAAATAGCGATTTAGTTGAGCAATCACGTAATTCAAAGTTGTTTTATCTCATTAGGCCTATTTTGTCGACCCATTTTTTGCACTGATTCTTACGTAAAGATAGCGAGTTAGTTGAGAAATCACGTAGTTCAAAGTTATTTTATCTCATTAGGCCTATTTTTCTGCACTGATTCTACTTCATTGCATTCTTTTGACATCGGATCTAATTTTCACTAATTATAATAAATTAACTGGGCACCTAGGGTTCTAAACCTGCTTTAAGTAGCCCAAGGGCATTTTAATTACTTTTTCCATATATTACTATCTCTCCTCATGTCTGACCATCTTCTATAGTCTTCTAGCTATTATTTGGTGCTAATATTTCTAATTAAACCTTAAGGTTTCGTGGGTATTGTGAAAGACGCGGAGACTACCCAAAGCATATGTTGCCTCTTGTGTCGTGAAAAGTTGAAAAATAGAGATGAGAATTTTGAAAGAAATTTGATACAACAGTAATATTTACCTCAGATAAACATATAAAGCTATGACATAACCTCTACCATCAACAGAATAGGTTAGTCTCATTTATTAGCATCAGTGTATGTGTATCTCTATGTATCTGATACATCACGTACAATTATTAGTTTATTTGAAACAAATAATTGCATCATGATAAAACTAAGGCAAGGGTCAAAAGAAAAACATTTATAGCAGCAAGGTCACTTTTTATGTGTGACGAAATATATTGACGTTTCAAAAAGTATGGCATAAAAACAAAGTTACTCTGGATTTAGTGAAGACAACAAATTACAATAAATGTTTTTTTCTGAGATTTATCTGTGTTCTATATTTATAAGATAACATTATTCTAGGACTAAATAATAGCATCAGGTTACAATAGAATGCCCAATGTTAAGTCAGTTCTGAGTCTTCTTGGACCGGCCTATGGTCTAGGTTTAAAATATAGCATTACTCAGGTTACAAAGACTTCCCAGTGTTCAGTTAATTCTGACGTTATTCTCCTTGACGTTTTCTGTGTTCTAGGTTTATAAAATAACGGTATTTACATTAAAATGTCAGATTACAATAGCCTTGGTCTTCTTCTGGTAATCTGGATTTCATGTTAAAAAATAACGTAATGCTAGGACTAAGTAGTTAAGTCAAGTTGCAATAGAATGCCCAGTATTAAGTTAATCACGAGTCTTCTTCTTGGAGTGATCTGTATTCCGGATTCACTGATCATTTTCTGTGCTTAATAAAAATTATATTAATAAAGAACTGATAACCTCAGTCACGTTGCCTTCATCCCATATAGTACTAATACGACCTTAGTCACGATACCATTCATCTCATAGAGTACTAATACGACCTCAGTCACGATGCCATTCATCTCATAGAGTACTAATACGACCTCAGTCACGGTGCCATCCATCTTGTTGAATACTAATACGACCCCAATCACGATGACATTCTTCTCATAGAGTACGAATACGATCTCAGTCACGAAGCCATTCATCCCATAGAGTACTAATACGACCTCAGTCACGATGCCATTCATCTCATAAAGTACTAACACGACCCCAATCACGATGACATTCATTTTAGATAGTGTAACCAGCTTTATCCATCTGTGTTGGTTATAAAACAAAGTTTTGAATTGCTAGCCTACATGAAAATCTGTATTAGCAGTACGAAACGTTGTCTACAAATCATGCAGTTGGAAGGAGGTCGTTACATTATCCAAAATGAATAAGTACCATCTTATTGTACATAATTGTCAGGTTTTACGTTATAAAGTAGGCATACGAAATTAGTTATTATTCTCTGATTGTTTCTGTTATTAAATTTTCATCTTTTTAGTGCAAAATTGAGAAATATAGGAAAATTTCTTTTATCGAACAAGTTCAATTATAATCTTAAACGTGAGAGTCATCTGGTGAGCGTTTCTGTTCTCGTTATGCTTCTCCATAGTGGCTACAGCCGTATCTACCGAATATTCACGAGCTATTTGGAGGATGTACTACCTTCGTGGATGAACAAGGTTATCGAATATATCACCTCACCAGGAGTAGTAATTCCATTACTCTTATTACTTGTGTAAGTAAAATCTCAATAATTTCAAATCGTTTTCTTGACACAGAGTTCCTTGGTTTACATTGTTAATGGTACAAGCGAAGAATTAACGACTGCTTAAAAGAACATTTTCCTGCGTTATATAACGATAAATAATTATTGAAAATATGCTTCAAGTAAGTTAAGTTTACTGCTTTAAATAAATCGAATGTAACTGCGTGACTTTTAAAAAAAAGTAGCCTGGTTTAAAGCTAGTTATTTCCTCACCTATATATATATATATATATATATATATA